GAACCCCCAGGTCTCTTTCCTCCAGGCAGCTCCAGCCACACTTCCCCCAGCCTGTGGTGCTGCAGGGGGTTGGTGTGGCCCAAGTGCAGGACCTGGCACTTGCCCTTGTTGAAACTCATGCCGTTGATCTTGGCCCAGTGATCCAATCTATCTAGGTCCCTCTGTAGGGCTTCCCTCTCCTCCTGGGAGTCAACACTCCTGCTTAACTTGGTGTCATCTGCAAACTTGCTGATGTTACACCCTATGTCCTTCTCGAGATCATCAATAAAGATGTTAAATAGAAATGGTCCTAGCACTGAGCCCTGAGGCACACCGCTTGGGACCGGCCGCCAGCTGGATTTCTCCTCTAACACGTAGGAAAACTGCACTTTTGGAAGCCTCTGGGGTGGGAATTGGTGACAATATTCCCTTTACAGCCAGCTCTGGGGGGTGGTTTCGAGGTCTTGGTGTTTTCCAGCTCCCGAGGAGGAGGGAGACCTGGGCACCCCTCGACACCCCAAGAACTCCAGAGCCCTGAGCTCTGCCCTCCCAAAGCCCCCGCGCTTGCAGGGTCCCACAGGGGCTGTCCCTGGTGGGGGGGACCAGCATCCTGCTGGGGATAATCCCAGTTTGTTTGATATCAGGACCAATATGGGCTTTTTAGTGCCATTAATGCTAATTATTTAGTCTTATCCTACTCAATCTCTTTATATTTCAACCCTTGCTTTCCCCGATTCCTCATCCCAGGTGGGGAGGGCTCCCTGGGGTGAGAGAATAATTGTCTGAACCACAAGAAAACGCTCTTGTGGGTTCTTCAAACCCTAACACACACATCCCAGCCTCCCCTTTCTCATCTCCCCTGCCTCTGAAGCAATGAATTTATGGATTTTGACAAAGTGGGGGGGTTGGGATTTTAACACCAGCACCCTCGATGCCGGCCTGAACCACAAGAAAACGCTCTTGTGGGTTCTTCAAACCCTAACACACACATCCCAGCCTCTCCTTTCTTATCTCCCCTGCCTCTGAAGCAATGAATTTATGGATTTTGACAAAGTGGGTGGTTGGGATTTTAACACCAGCACCAGAGAGCTCCCAGAGGGGCAACAACAGCAGCTTGGAATGACACCACGTGCTCTGGGATCTGTATTTAATAAGCAAAATGCCTTTTGCATCCTTTCTCCAAGCCTAAGGATGCTCCCATCCAGCTCTGCTCGTTCACAAAGCCCTTCCAGGGTCCCATCTCACCTGGAAGTTGCCCGTCTTCTTGTCGTACTTGACCAGGTTGTTCTTGTCCAACATGAGGGCCGCCGTGTGGACCAGGTCCAGGCGGCGCTGGTCCAGCAGGGGATCCCCCTTCAGATCGTCGTGGGAGATGCCGTAGAGGGTTGGGGAGCGCAGCATTCGGATGTAGAGGTAGGTGTAACCCAACCAGTTCACCGCGTCCTGAGGAAACGAGAAGGTGCCCTCATAATTAACACGCCTCACGGCAAGCAAAGGGGATGTTCTGGTGGCTCGGAGTCCAGTGCTCCCACACGCCTCACGGCAAGCAAAGGGGATGTTCCAGCTCGGAGCCCAGTGCTCCCAGTTGTGGTGTAGGACACACCAGGCTAAATCAGAGAGACACAGGATGATACGGGGTTGGAAGGGACCTCTGGAGATCACCCAGTCCAACCCCTTCCCAGAGCAGGTCCCACAGGAACGTGTCCAGGGGGGTTTGAATGTCTCCAGAGAAGGAGACTCCACCACCTCTCTGGGCAGCCTCTGCCAGGGCTCTGCCACCCTCAAAGTCAAGAAGTTCCTCCTCATGTTTAGGTGGAACTTCTCATGTTCAAGTTTGTGCCCATTTCCCCTTGTCCTGTCCCTGGGCACCACTGGAAAAAGACCAGCCCCATCCTCCTGACACCCACCCTTGAAGGATTTATAGGCGTTGATCAGATCCCCCCTCAGCCGTCTCTTCTCCAGCTGAACAGCCCCAGGGCTGAGGGACCTTTCTCATCACAGAGATGTTCTCCTCCCCTCCTCATCTCTGTAGCCTCTGCTGTCCCCTCTCCAGCAGTTCCCTGTCCTTCTGGAACTGGGGAGCCCACAACTGGTCCCAGTGCTCCAGCTGGGGCCTCCCCAGGGCAGAGCAGAGGGGCAGGATGACCTCCCTCCATCTGCTGGTCACCCCAGGAGACCATTGGCCTTTTTGGGCACATGGACAGCCCATGGTCATCCCGTCCATTGGCCTTTTTGGCCACAAGGGCACATGGACAGCCCATGGTCATCCCATTGTCCACCACAACTACAAATCCCAAGTTTCTTTGCTCGATGGCGTCTTTCTCTTCTCCTTTGGGCCCTGCAATCCCCTGGGGACAGCAAAGGGCACACGTTTTTTGGGGAAAGCAGGGATTTGCCCTCACCTTTGCGTTCTGGACGTTGCCGAGCACGGTCTCGGCGTTGAGCATGTCTGGGAGCTTCGACACCATCTGGCTCTCGATGGGGAGCTGCTGGTTGAGCAGGGAGAGGTAATACTGGAGCTCGCCGTGGGACGTGATGAGGATCCCCTCTCCTTTGGTATCGTACTGCGGCCTCCCTGCACGGCCCAGCATCTAAGAAATGAGAAGGTGAGGTCAGAAAAAAAACATAAAAAGCCTTGATTTTGGTGATTTCTCCTCGCTGCCATGTTCCTAGGGCTTGGCTGCCAGGTTTCCTGGTAGACAATAGGATGTCCATGGGCCAGAAATGGGACCTTGTGGCCAAGAAGGCCAAGGACATCCTGGGGGGTGTCAAAAGAAGGCCAAGGGCATCCTGGGAGGCATCAAGAAGAACGTGGCCAGCAGACGGAGGGAGGTCATCCTGCCCCTCTGCTCTGCCCTGGGGAGGCCCCAGCTGGAGCACTGGGACCAGTTCTGGGCTCCCCAGTTCCAGAAGGACAGGGCGCATCTCTCTGATGAGGAGAGGCTGAGGGACTTGGGTCTTTTTAGTCTAGAGAAGAGAAGGCTGAGGGGGGATCTGATCAATGTCTATCAATACTTCAAGGGAGGGTGTCAGGATGGGACTGGTCTTTTTTCAGTGGTGCCCAGGGACAGGACAAGAGGAAATGGGCACAAACTTGAACATGAGAAGTTCCATCTCAACATGAGGAGGAACTTCTTTCCTGCGAGGTGGCAGAGCCCTGGCAGAGGCTGCCCAGGGAGGTGGTGGAGTCTCCTTCTCTGGAGACATTGAAACCCCCCCTGGACACGTTCCTGCTCTGGGTGGCCCTGCTCTGGGTGGGGGTTGGACTAGATGATCTCCAAAGGTCCCTTCCAACCCCATATCATCCTCTAATTCTGTGCTAGCTCAGTCTGCTCTGACTTCCAGCTGGCAGGAGACACACAGAAATAGCTGAAGATGTGTCTGGATAAGACATTGGGAGAGGAATGATTTGTCTCCTTTTATCCTACTGATCTCCTTCTCCCCTGCCCTCACCTCAGGGCTGTCCCCACAACGGCCTGAGAGCAGGGAAGGGGGAGAAAATACAAAAGCAGAGCTCAAATGTGCCTCAGTGGGAAAGGAAAAAAACCTGCCCCAAGTCCTGACAGCATTTTTGTTCATCAGAACTTCACCTGCAGGATGTCCAGAGCCCCCAGCTCGGTCCAACGGCCCTTCTCGGGGCTGTAGACCTGTGTCCCCTTGATGATGACGGTGTGAGCGGGGAGGTTCACGCCCCAGGCCAGCGTGGCTGTGGAGACCAGCACCTGCAGGAGGAAAACAGCCATCAGAGCATGGTAAAAGCCTCTTCCCGGGGAAAAAAAGGGATCTAAAAGGCTGGTCCTGTCCCTTCCCAGGGAAAAAAGGACCTAAAAGGCCGGTCCTGTCCCTTCCCGGGGAAAAAAAGGGACCTAAAATGCTGGTCCTGCCTCTTCCCGGGAAAAAAAAGGGACCTAAAAGGCCGGTCCTGTCCCTTTCTGGGGAAAAAAAGGGATCTAAAATGCTGGTCCTGTCCCTTTCTGGGGAAAAAAGGGATCTAAAATGCTGGTCCTGTCCCTTTGTAGGGAAAAAGGAACCTAAAATGCCAGTCCTAGGAAAAAAAGGGACTTAAAATGCCAGTCCTGCCCCTCTGCAGGAGGAAAACAGCCATCAGAGCATGGTAAAAGCCTCTTCCCGGGGAAAAAAAGGGACCTAAAAGGCTGGTCCTACCTCTTCTCAGGGTAAAAGGGATCTAAAATGCCAGTCCTAGGGAAGAAAGGGACCTAAAATGCCAGTTCTGCCTCTTCCCGGGGAAAAAAGGGACCTAAAAGGCCGGTCCTGCCTCTTCCCAGGGGAAAAAGGGACCTAAAATGCTGGTCCTGTCCCTTTCTGGGGAAAAAAGGGATCTAAAATGCTGGTCCTGTCCCTTTGTAGGGAAAAAGGAACCTAAAATGCCAGTCCTAGGAAAAAAAGGGACTTAAAATGCCAGTCCTGCCCCTTCCTAGGGAAGAAAGGGACCTAAAATGCCAGTTCCGCCTCTTCCCGGGGAAAAAAGGGACCTAAAATGCCAGACCTGTCCCTTCCTGGGGAAAAAAAAGGGACCTAAAAGGGCAGTCCTGCCTCTTCTTGGGAAAAAAAGGGACCTAAAATGCCAGTTATGCCTCTTCCCAGGGGAAAAAGGGACCTAAAATGCCAGTTCTGCCTCTTCCCAGGGAAAAAAGGGACCTAAAATGCCAGTCCTGCCTCTTCCTGGGAAAAAAAAAGGGACCTAAAGGGCCGGTCCTGCCTCTTCCCAGGGGAAAAAGGGACCTAAATTGCCGGTCCTGTCCCTTCCTGGGAAAAAAAAGGGACTTAAAATGCCAGTCCTGTCCCTTCCTGGGGAAAAAAGGGACCTAAAATGCCAGTTCTGCCTCTTCCCGGGGGGAAAAGGGACCTAAAATGCCAGTCCTGTCCCTTCCTGGGGAAAAAAGGGACCTAAAATGCCAGTTCTGCCTCTTCCTGGGAAAAAAAGGGGACTTAAAATGCCAGCTTCTTGGGAAAAAAAGGGACCTAAAATGCCAGTTATGCCTCTTCCCAGGGGAAAAAGGGACCTAAATTGCCGGTCCTGTCCCTTCCTGGGAAAAAAAAGGGACTTAAAATGCCAGTCCTGTCCCTTCCTGGGGAAAAAAGGGACCTAAAATGCCAGTTCTGCCTCTTCCCGGGGGGAAAAGGGACCTAAAATGCCAGTCCTGTCCCTTCCTGGGGAAAAAAGGGACCTAAAATGCCAGTTCCCTCTTCCTGGGGAAAAAAAGGGACGTAAAATGCCAATCCTGTCTCTTCCTGGGGAAAAGGGGACCTAAAATGCCAGTCCTACCCCTTCCCAGGGAAAGAAAGGGGTGTAAAGGCTGGTTCTGCCTCTTCCCAGGGAAAAAAAGGGATCTAAAATGCCGGTCCTGCCTCTTCCCAGGGAAAAAGGGGATCTAAAATACTGGTCCTGATTCCCAGGGAAAAAAAGGGATCTAAAATGCCAGTCCTGCCTCTTCCCAGGGAAAAAGGGATTTAAAATACTGGTCCTGACATTAGAGACACGCACAAAAGGGACAAAGAGGGAGTGTGCTGTGACTGCCTCGACAGCTCAGCAGAGGGAAGGTCAGATAAACAGCAGGATCTTTGCTCAAATTTCCCAGCTCACTGCATGACCCCAGGAAAATCCTTCGCCTTCCATTCATGTGGCAGCCAACAAATTGCTCAGATGGGGTTTTACAAAGCACCCGTGGAGGAGACAAGCTGCTGAGGGACAGATCTCTGGCTTTAAACCCTCAGTGAGGGTTAGAGGAGATGTTTTTGCCCTCTCTGCTCCCGGCCACGTGCTTGTAGTTTCTATTTTTTACGCCAAAATCAAGGCTGCCTTCATCAGGCACCAGCTTGGGTTGAAAATCCTCTTGATTTTGCCCCAAGAGCTATTGGAAAACATGATATTTCTTGTGAAATACCTCCCCCAAAGGTAGGAATTCCTCCTGGGAAGCCAGGTTTACCTGGATGTGCTTGTCAGCAAACAGATCCTCCACCAGCGTCCGGTCCACGCGCGTCATCCCGGCGTGGTGGATGGCGAAGCCGTAGGGAAGGAGATCCTTCAGCTCCAGGTTCTGCAGCACAAACACAACCCTCTCTGGGTTTTCTACCCCCACCAAGCAACACCAAGGGGGGATAAAAATATAAAGTAGGGCATATTAGGGCATATTATTTAAGGCTGGACGAGGGGACAGTGAGGTGGACTGAGAACTGGCTGTGTGACAGGACCCAAAGGGTAATGATTAATGGAGCAGGTTCAAGTTGGAAGCCTGTAACCAGTGGTGTCCCCCAGGGGTCAATACTTGGTCCAGTGCTGTTCAATATATTCATCAGTGAACCTGGACGAGGGAACAGAGTGGTCAGTGGTTCCCAGTGAGAGGACGAGGGGCAACGGGCACAAGTTGGAACAGAAGAGGTTCCACTTGAATATGAGGAGAAACTTCTTCACGGTGAGGGTGGCAGAGCCCTGGAACAGGCTGCCCAGGGAGGGTGTGGAGTCCCCTTTTTGGAGACTTTCAAGCCCCACCTGGATGCTCCTGAGTAACATGCTCTAGCTCTAGGCAATCCTGCTTCAGCAGGGGAGTTGGACTAGATGATCTCTATGGTCCCTTCCAACTCTAAAAATTCAGTGAAAAACTGCCAAATTGCCCCAAACCTGCAGCATCTCTGTAGGAAAGCCCCAGCCGGGGACGTACCTTGCACTGCTCGGCTTCGGTCCTCAGCACCTCGGTGGAGGCTGAGCCCTCCCTCAAGAAGAGCCCCAGGGTGTCTTTCTCCAGGCACATGTCCCTGATGGCCCGGGCTGTCTTCCCAGTCTCCTTCCTGGAGTGAACGAACACCAGCACCTGGTAAAAAAGCACATAGCACCGTGGCTGAGAGAGGAATCACCAAAGAGGCTCAACCCAACCCACAGAGACGTAGAATTAGCCCAGATGCCCCAGGAACCAGGCACAGGGCTGCTGATCTAATGGGGTAACATCAAAAAAACTCCCTCATCCTGAAAAAAACAGGGCATATTAATCAGAGAGAGAGAAAACCCCGTGTTCCTTCCTCTCTTGGCTGCCATGGACCCTTCAAATCAA